TTTACAAGTGTCTGTAAACGCTGGTTCACGACTGGATATTTGAGAGCTGCATCAACTGCAAACAAACAGGAATAATTTAGGGAGCTTTGTGGTTTGTTCTTTAGTTCTTGGGCGTACAGACTCGTACCTTCACCACATTTCACAGCCTGCTTCAGTGGATGGAGTCGTCTGGCGTCATGGAGACAGCTCAGCTGTCCAACAGTTGAAGGTCTTTGTCAGATGCCAGCTGGAAAACTAACCCTAACCTTTGTTGTTTTTCTCCATTTACCCACAAAAGACCCTTTTAAAGTCTGATATAGTATTTCAAACCTTAAGCTCGGGATGCACAATGTATCATTTCTGCTTGTGCACCACAGTCGCATCGCGTCATGTTACAACTTGTTTTGCTGCTTCGTGCAAAAAGAAACTGGTTCTTGGATACGCTGAGTTCCAAGATTTATTTGAAAGACAGAGTTTGTTGACATGTTGGCTTCGCATGCTGACAACAAAATGGGCGTGAAATGGGAGAAACACTGAAAAGTAAGATCTGGTTTCAAGAAGAAATGAGCGTGTAGACATATTTTGGCTCCAGAAAGGACGATGCTGACCTAAAACAGGTGCTCTGTCGTCGTGCGTCGCTGCCAACACGACTAATTTGTTTGACCGTTTGAATCAGCAGCACAAAGCTCCGCATGACAAGTGCAAAGCCGCATCTGACTGCCGTCCAAAACCTATTTCAGATGCCTTCGCCGGAGTCGCACCATGTGAGAAAGGTTTCCAACAGCCCTTTTTTTCAGCTCTAATGCAGATGCACTCTCCTACGAAATCACCCAAATCACTGTCGAACATTTACCTCTCTCTGAAACTTGTTTGCAGTAAACATCTCAGAGAAAGATGTTGGGATGTCGTTTGTTTCCAGTCTCCTGCAGCTCTACTCTCAGCTTCTGTTTTAACGTCACTCATGCTGGAATTTATCAGCGGTTTTGTGCAGAAGAACCTCAGCGGTGTTGAACTATCAGACGCTTTCTCTCATCCACGCGATCACACTCTGAAGTATGTTATCGCTGCAGATCGTCTGTTTCCTGCTGCTGAGCTCAGCAGTGGAGTCGCTTCTCTTTCAGCAGCATCATAAAGGTGTGAAGTTCAGGGAAGCAGTGGAAATACCAGAGTGTGAGAGCTCACGATGCACTCTAATATAAGGAAACCTATTACATTTCATTACAACAAAAAACAAGGATTTAAACGTTTTGGGTTGCAAACATTATTTTGATGGGTTGAGTTGACATAATAATGTTGGTAATTGCATTAACTTAATAATGTGTGTCATGGCTGCCTATGACTCGATGATGATCCAGACTCTTGGCGACGGGCCCGTCTCAGCTTTGCAGAGGACATGGGAGAGGGATCTGAACCTGACAGTCAGAGATGAAGATTGGAACAGAATTTGTAGAAGTGTTAAAAAAGTCTCAAGGGATGCAAGAATTCGTCTTATCCGATTCAAAATTATACATCGTTTTTATTGGACTCCTTCCAGATTATTTAGATTGGGGCTGTTACCCACATCAGATTGTTAGCGATGCAAATCTGAGGAAGGTAGTTTAGTTCATGTTTTATGGTCGTGTGATAAAGTCCAGCAATACTGGACCAGTATTTATGATAATTTGTGTGAGATCACAGAGATACAAATGCCATTTAGCCCTAGATTATTTATTCTGACTGACGATTCAGTTCTGGTAACGAGAGGATAAACAAACCAAAAGCTGTGTCCAAACCAGTATTATGATTGGTAGGCAGATACTTGTTAGAAGATGGAAGACGGAGGGGTGCCCTCTCTCCAAGAGTGGGCTGTGGAGGTGGCACGAGTCGCAGCATTTG